CAGGTGGAAAAAATGCTAAACACGAAACTACGACCGTAATTGCGGCTTGCTATTAAAACACCCGGCGCATTCCTGAGCCTTGTGGTGTAATCTGACCCGAAACAGCAAAATCGCACCCCGAAAGCATTAAGCGGATGGAGCAAACACTTCAAATGTCTCTATTCTAACACACATTGCACTGCTCGATCACTGACCTGTAGTGACCTACTGGCCATGCATTCTGTTACCTCGCTCCAGTTCAGGTCAACAAAGTCAACGAAGTCTAGTGTTTCTTATAAGCCATTTGAAACCCAGAACCGACTCGTCTTTTTTTAAATGTGTTTGTGCGTGACTGTGCCAGCTAGTGTCACGCAGCATCCGTCTCCCTTTGGCATGTTACATGGACGTGTTGAAACGGAAAATACCCTAGTTTGCAGATGGTTGAGACATGCAAGTGCCTCCTTACGCAAGAGTCAATTTATAGACTTTTTGGCTGTTATATCTGTAACCTGGCCAAGACCTACGCTAGACACGTAAGGAACGCTGAAGAGGCAAGGGCGCAATTGATGCGTGACATTTCATGCTGCGTTTGTACTGTATTTTTGATGAGCCGTGGCCAAATTGTCTGGCATTTTGCTACACTGTGTTGTAGATATGCGCTCATAACATGTGACCGTAACAAAGATCGTGTCGATGCCTTTGATGATGCCGTGGATGTTGACAGAGCAGCATAGACTTAGTTGAGCCGCCCACAACATGCGAAGCTGATAGATCGTGATACTAAGACTGATCTGAACAATAGGACATTTCGCTCGAACATTTTTCTGTTCCCAGACGTATTCACAGCATTTTGCATATTTTGTTACGAAAAGAACCTAGCTAAGTGCCATCAATTTACATTCCCTTCTTTGACGCATTGGAACAGTTGGAGCATGACACGTGGTTTTGCAGCGCAGGCCTATTTCGATATGCAGAAGTGTCGAGCAATAAAAGGTGTTTACATGCTTGCTTACAATAACCCAGTAACAGCGTTATCACCATTGTGCGAATGTTAATTACCGGTATTCCGGTAATTAGCGTGATGGAGGTGATAAATGTTGGAAGGTCCTAAAAAAGAGTGACGAAGGTCCTTGTTAAAGCCCATTCTATCAACGACAGTGGTGCAACCCAGGGCGATGGGGGGGGGGGGGGGAGGGGGTGGAGCTCATGGGACTTTAGCTTTTTCTGTCAAGTTCCAGCGCACGTTTTCACCGCGACACTAGTAAAAAAAAATTCCAGAATTTGGTGGCCAAGAAAACTTTCTGTTTTTAGATCCCATATAGCCATCAGGGGCAGTAACATGCATAGTCCAACAGCCACAGTTAAGAAACAAGACCAGCGGAAAGCCGGGTGAATTTTTGCGTCGCGCAGATATCTAAAGCAATTGTTCAAGGTACCAAGGCAAACCCACATCAATAGCCTATTAACACGCTAAGCACAAAGACTAGAAGTGTTTGTGCGGTTTGTTGGTCTGTTCGCAGTGCGTAGGCACGGTCGGTGGGGCTGCGACACGTTCGTAAAACGTTAAACCCCGTCGCAAATCATGTTAGCGCCCGACGTAACTTCTGGCCGCACCTATATGTATATATATATATATATATATATATATATATATATATATATATATATATATATATATTTATATGTCTGGTTGACGATAGGATAAAATGTTAACGTGAAACCTCACAAAATTCACAAGAATTTCCACCATCCTTTTAACGTTCTCATAGATTACCCTAATCTGTATACTATTACTGATCTCTAACCCTGACCCGGCTGGCCTATTCGGTTGAGACCGGCCGGTTCGATCCATGTTTGAGCTGTCTCTACATGGCTGTTAGCCATACGAGTGTTCAATGAGTGACGCTAGCAAGTCTAAACATGCCGGCGCAATGTGAGGTAACCTGAGGTCATTCCATGCCTTATCAGTCATCTGCACTTGGAGGGTATTGCACGCAGCATAGCTCGTGATGTTCAAGACAACGGTAGCATTGCACTGTGAGGGATTTGACGATATATCGGACTTTTAGAACTTGATGATCTGGCATGCCATCGACATTAAATGAACCATGGACCTTTCTTGATACGCCTTAGTCATTTTGGCTCGGGATATTGTGGGTTTGACGGGATGACTTTAAAAATGCATTTTTTTTGCAGCTCCACTTTGAGGCGACGTGCCTCAGCGCAGTCCTCATGGGGAAGGATATTGTCGCTGATGGCAGTTTCCCTCATTCTAAACTTACTTGCCATCAGAACAAATTTACTTGTCATTATAACTAGCGAAATAAAAGTGCAATAGGAAATTATTTTTAAAGACTATCGTACGCACTCGATGTTGTTGTTGTATCAACATCACGCTAGATGTTGTTAGTAACAAAAGTTAATTTCATAGAAACGGTTTCTATGATTTAAACAAATTATTGAAAGTGAACTCTGAGTTGATAATTGATAGGCAGTTTAAGCAACTACTCCAAGAAGCGTATCGTGTGGCAAACACAACCCTTTCAGCAATGGACTTTTAGCGATATATATATATTTTTGATCCTAACACATCGCGAACGATTTCCATTTTCAATGCCGGTGCTGGTTCAAGGCATCCGGCAGCCTTATTTGTTGACTCGAGCCCCCACTTTGCCTCCAGCTCTTCCGACTTTAGAGCGATCCTACCCAATTAACACGTGTGCACTGGACATGGAAGCAGCGATGGGGAGGAGCCAATACTTTATGCGTGCTCTCTCCGTGTAGCCCTCAAGTAACGAAACCGAAACTAATGGCAAAACCGTACACTAAGAATACCGATTTCTTCAAAGTGGTACAATGAAGTGGCCTAAATCCGGGAACAAATGGCCTCCCGGTGCTTCCATATACATCAAATAATCCCGGCTAAGTCTATCCATCGAATTGATGAAATTGCACAGCTGACCCTGTTTCAAATGCCCTGCTTGTGCTCCTGGGACACTAAATTTCCACATATTAATCAGCCGTACACGTCATAATCGAGCTTACCAATCAATCGCACACTGCGCCCGCTCTCGAACACACTGAGTCATCTGAGCTGTTCACATTTAAGGACCTCAGCTGCCGCTGCGGCACGCCCCAGTGCGCAACTGCAGCACGCTTCTGAGCAACTGATACAAGGGCCTTGCATGTCAGTGCAACGATTCACCCGACGACAGAAGAGGGCTAACGAGCGCACAGGCACGTCCCCGTTTCCGGTGCTCGCTGGAGAGTGCACGTGCTCGGCTGGACTGAGTCACAGACGAGGCGCGCTCGCCGTGCTCCTTTTCACGCCCGGTGAAGAGCGCCCTGCATTTACTGGGCGAGAAGTGTCGCTGAATGCACGCCACTGGCGCTGACTGCTCTATGCTTATTGTTTCTCACTCGCTTTGCATTCAGGGCGTCACTGAAATGCTTCATGTTGAGCTTGAGTCCGACCGGTCTTGTCTTGTTGTTCCGTGCTGGTGTTTCGCATTGCATATGCGTTTGATTACGATTCCAAACCTTGGCTTACTCACAGGTGAATTGGCTTACTGGCGCTATTGCTTGTAAAACGGTGTTAGGTGGTACCAGGCGCAATGTTGTGCTATGATGTGAGATGTGGCTATGGCTGCATGGATTGAACTGTTCGCAGTGACGTAGCCAGGAGTTCGCCCAGCCAATCCTGCCCAGCTGGAGAGGACCGCCGACAGCAGGGGACCAAACCTGGTCATAGGAGGCCTTTCCAGTCAAGGGGCCTTCTTGGTTTATTACCGGTCGTGCTTTCGATTAGGAGGACTTCCCTAGGCTCGGGCTGCTGTTTTGATGTTCGGGGACCGCGTGCGTTCCTACGTTTAAGGCCCCCTATGGCGGCGTCTTGAGCAAAAAGTTAAGGGGCCCCGAGTATCCCGTCTCAGGGCCTACGGCGCCTCCAGGGGAGTGCAGGGCGTGGCTACAAAAGCCCTCCTTCCCAGGCCACATCGCTGAATGGTTGTGTACATCGCATTGCTTGTGAACTATGCCTTTCTGGAGCCTCGACTTTTTCACCGACGCCGACACTGGTTCCAATCATCGGAACGAAACCCTGGAAAAACGATTGCTTTCTGGAGACAGTACACCAGTGTAATCGAAAGACCTCTCATTTTAAGCACCGCCGCGTGTGTGCAAGAGCGGATCAAGAACACTATCTCGGGAGGTGGGGACGCCTGCTTGGGGAAGTCTAAACATGCTTCCTCATTAAAAAGCCCTTATCGGATCCCGCTTTTTGTACCTGAACGGATCTTCCAAAACAAGCTCACTTCGTGCAAGATGTCAAGATTCTGGAGAGAGGTCAGAAATGTGTCATTTCTCACCATACAGTTTGGAGTGGGGGGGGGGGGGGGAGGAAGGGGTCACGTCCTGGTTGCCTCTCTGCATCCGCTCTTGCGTAAGCAATTCGCTTCTGCGCGCGGCACAGCATTGCTGCATGCCTGGCTTCTCCCTTCATTAGGTACTGCCTGGCTTCTTGTATTCGGGTGTGCCGTCACACATCTCTCACAGGCATTCTGGCAGCCCACCTCGGCGCACCTGCTCGACTCTGTAATTTCGTCACCCGCTGGTACACTACCTGACCATAAACACGCGTAACGCCCGACCGTTGACCCAATGACCGTGCTCATTTATTCCTGATGCCCTTCCCCGACCCCACTCGGAGGGGCAGCCGCGGTAGCCGCCCCCGCCGCGAGGGTGTCGCCGGTGGAGCTGCGTCTTCCGCTGCTCCCCGCGCTACCTTCCCTCCCGTCCCCCACTCCTTCCCGCCCCCCCGCGAGGGGACAGAGCTCAGTTCCCATGCCGGCCGTGCGCACCGGATACACGTAATTTACCGTTGCCGGCCGCCAACAGGTGGCTGCGTCGGCGGCGCTGATTGGTCGTCGCCGAGAGAGCCGGCCGCCGATTGGCCGCCGTCATGCCGCTGCCGGCGCTGGAGGAGCTGACCGCCGCCGCGCTGACCGCCCTGTTTACGGTGATGCTGTGGCGGTGCGTGGCGAGGATGGCAGAGTCGAGGCGCGTGCCGCCGCCGCCGGAAGGGGGGACGCCGCCGGCGCCGGCGCGGGACCTCAGTGAGGCGCCGGCCGACGCCATGTGCAGTGTGGTGGAGGGCGACGGCGACGGCGACGAGCCGGTGATGACGACCTCGTACGAGGAGTGGGCAGCCGTCGCCGACGACGAGGACCAGATCAGAACAAGTAAGTGCACTCTGCAGGGTTATTCATCTAATAAGCTTAATTGGCCGGCGGTGAACAGCTTCTTTCACAGCGACTAGGAACAATGCGAGCAACTTTGAGCGAGTCAGCACAGCGCCAGGTGACCCATTTCGGCCGGCGGGCCACCGGATGCGTCCGCCTGTTTCCGGTGTCGTGCTCGGTCACCGCGCATCGTCCGGCTCGATTTCACCGGGCGCTCGTGACCTAGGCGTCCGATAATCCCACCGAATGATTGGGTGCTCCGACCGGTGACAGACCGGTTCTACCGCGGCAGCAATCCAGGTCGGCCCGTTGCACCAGCGAACATGCGACAGCTCCGTCAGGTCCGTCAGGTCCGACAGCCGGAGCTTCTCGCCGCTCCAGGGGGTCGTCTCGATGTGGTCAGCGGCGTGCCCGTCTGTGGTGTGCCTGAGAGCCCGTTCCACTGTTCCCGATGAACCGTCCTGCTGTTCCGAAAGGCCCGTCGTACTGTTACCGATGGCTCGCCCCCAGTTCCCCACGGTTGTCCCTCTGGACCCAGCGGCCCGCCAAACAGAATCCAACGGCTCATCCTGCTGCGACTAGTGGTTCGCCCTGCTGCTGTCAATGGCTCGTTCCACTGCTACCAGTGGTTTGTCCCGCTGCTACCAGTGGCTCGTCCCGCTGCTACCAGTAGCTAGTCGTGCTATCCGCTGCAGCGACTCATCCAACGGTTCCGAGCGGGTTGTTCCGCTAGACCCAATGGTCCGTCCACCAGAACCCAGCGGCTCGCCCCGCTCGTTCAAGATGATGTGTTGACCGCGGTAACTGTCGGCGGCAGTCCGCAGTGATCTACGCGGGCTGGTTCCCGTCGAGCGGGTCCGCCTCGTCCGCGGCAGTGGAGTCAGGCCTGAACGGGTCCGCCTCGTCCGCAGCAGCGGAAGAAGCTCTGAATGGGTCCGAGTCGTCCGCGGCAGTAGAGGCAGGTCTGAACGGGTCCGCCTCGTCCGCGGCAGTAGAGGCAGGTCTGAACGGGTCCGCCTCGTCCGCGGCAGTTGAGGCAGGTCTGAACGGGTCCGCCTCGTCCGCGGCAGTAGAGGCAGGTCTGAAGGGGTCCGCCTCGTCCGCGGCAGTAGAGGCAGGTCTGAACGGGTCCGCCTCGTCCGCGGCAGTAGAGGCAGGTCTGAACGGGTCCGAGTCGTCCGCGGCAGCGGAAGAAGCTCTGAATGGGTCCGAGTCGTCCGCGGCAGCGGAAGAAACTCTGAATGGGTCCGAGTCGTCCGCGGCAGTGGAGGCAGGTCTGAACGCTTGGCCAAGCGCCCGCTAAACCGCTATCGCCCGCTTGATCGACGCTCGTGTGTGTCGACGCCCGTCGTTATCCTCCAGTTGGCTCGGCCAGGCGGACGCTGTGCCTGAGGCCACGAGCGCAGGACCAGTAGAGAGGCGGATAGGGCTGCCTGAAGAATGTGGAGCAGAAGTCATCAACTGGATATCCAGACTCGTCCCACTCCGCAGCTGGCTCGCCGCGTTGTCACTCAGGCCTGGTGATAGCCTCTGAAATCCGTTAGTTATACATTTTTGACCAGCAACCCACTCTGAACTGCCTCTGAACTGATGTCGGCAGTTCCTCGTCAGGTCGCCGAACGGAACCCGCCGGCGTCTGTGTTGTAACCCATCGCTCACCGAGTTCGGCCGGGCCAGTTACGAAGCCCGGTGATGGACGAGTAAGCGGCAGCCGGGGCAGCTCGAGGTGCCGGACTCAGCAGCTGGCAGCTCACGCCTTCAGTGGCAGTCTTCGGAAGCTCGGCTGAACGGCGCGGCGCCGATGGTCTCACGGCCTGGTTCAGCGCTGACACGGCGGCGGGACGCTGGCGGCGGCATTAGCGACCGGCCCCGAGCACTCGCGGATATCAAACCCGAGCGAGTGGCCGCGGTCTTCGATGCTGGAGACTTGCCCGAAGGCATAACTTAATCTGAACGTGCATTTCTGCGGACTAGCAGTGGGAAAAGCAAGCGAATGCCGGCAGCGACAGGCGTGTTTTATTCGCGGCAGGGACACGCCGAGTCATGGGCGGCGCATAAACAGCACGCAGCACATCAGCGCATAGCAACATACCAGAATTCAGCGATAGGTTGATGATGCAACTGCAATCTGCGAGAAAGCACGCAGCGGGCCCGGGGCATGTTGTGACACTGACCAGCTGGCGGGTACTCCTCCCTTATGTCGCTGGTGCATAACTCCTACTCCCTTCCTGTCGCTTGTCCCCCACTACCCCTTCCTGCCGCTGGTCCACCACTCCTCCTCCCAGTCGCGTGTCCACCGCTCCCCCTTTCCTGTCGCCGGTCCACCGCTCCTGCTTTCCTGTTGCTGGTTCACTCTTTCTCTCTTTCTGTCGCTTATCCACCACTCCCCCTCCCAGTCGCGTGTCCACCGCTCCTCCTTTCCTGTCGCGGGTCCACTGCTCCTCCCTTTCTGTCGCTGGTTCATTCTTCCTCCCCTTCTGTCGCTGGTCCACCGCTCCTCCCTTCCTGTCGCTGGTCCACTGCTCCTCCCCTCCTGTTACTGGTTCACTCCTTCTCCCTTCCTATCGCGGGTCCATCACTCCTCCTTTCCTGTCGCCAGCTCTCCATTCCCAGCCGTAATCAGCGCGCGGCTCCCGGACGCGCCCCGCGGCTGGCCCCGCGGCGGACCTGAGCGTCGGGCGTGCGCGAGCGCGAGCCGGCCGGCGCGGTGCACCCGCGGCGGCGCGGCCGGGTGCCCCTCCCCTTCGCCGTGCCCTGTTTACCGCGCGCCCAAACCGTCCGTTCCCGCGCGCCGGCATGTGAGGGGAGGGGAGGGGAGGGGAGGGGGGGGGGGGAGATGGAATCGGGCTGCTCCACGCCTCGGCGGTGAGGTCAGCACGCGTGGCCGCGCACCCCGGGGAGCGCCGCCCGGTTCTTCACTGTCGCCCCCCTCCTGGGCGTGCGGTTTGTGTGGAGGAGTTGAGTGGAAAGCGTGCCGCGTCGTAAAACGGCAAGTGCGCGTTATCCATGGCGAGCGGCTGTTTGGTTCGTCGTCACTGCGCGGCTTTGTCGGTTGGTGGAGGGGCCCTTTGAAGGCGCAGCGCGATCCTTTCCCTTGATACGAGGCGGTATGGACCGCCAACTCGTGTGTTTAGTGCAGATACTATCTGCTAGACTGTTGTGAGGCGTGCAATCACACAATACAGGCATGGCCGACTCGAGTCTGGATTCAAGGGCTTTGTGGCTGTGTAAAGGTTTCAGGAGGGTGTTCCTAACGAGCATGGTGCAGGTGAAACATGTAATACGGCGATATAGTAAGGCGGAATATGATAGGATGTTCCGTGGGGAGGCTGCTGACCAAGACCATTGAAAGGCGCGTGAATGCCCATGTGACAGACACAATAGCTGGTTGTCAGAAGAGCATGACCCATGATTAAACGGTGATGATGGGCAATCGTGAGATGTTTAGAGGCGCTTCGGCTTCATGGGGCTTTCGCGCCCAAATCCACTACTGCACGGGCCGAAGATAGAATGTGCAGATAACGCACTAAGTGGACGATCGTGCCATCACATTCTACCACTTCTCACACTCTCCCGTGTTCCGTATTTCTCAGCTAACTCTCCGGCCAATCTCACCTCCCACACGGGATATCTCCATTGTGTGAGTCAGCAGGTTTCTCCCTGACACCATGTTTAGAACGGCAGCTGCTCATTCTGAGGTCCTGCGACCCGCCCGACTCCCACAGACCTACCCACCCCATGCTGCCCTTCCGCCCCCTCCCCTCCCCCGCTTCCGTCGCCACCAGCTGGCGCGCGAGCCGACCTGACCCTGCGCCCAGCAGCGCGGCCGCCCCTCCCCACCTGCCCCACCCACCCCGCTCCGAAACAATAGCAGCGGCGGCAGCCGAGCGCTAAAAGGCGCACAATGCGTCGGGCGGGGCGGCCGGCGCTACCGTGTGGCGCTGGGTCGCCCCGGCGACCGGTGCACCCGGCCCGCGTGGTTCAGGACGGCCCGCACGGTCCAGGACGGCGCGCGCGGTCCAGGACGGTGCGCGCGGTCCAGGACGGCGTACGCGCGGTCCAGGACGGTGCGCGCGGTCCGGGACGACATACACGCGGCAGGGAGAGCGGGCCCGCCAGGCCGGAGAGAGCCGCCGACGCCGCCTCGGCTGGCGCCCACGCGCCGCCGTCGAGACGCGGCGACTCGCGGCGAGGCTGGTGAGCGATCGCGTGACGCCAACTGTCGGCGGGGCCGCAGCTTCACACGGCGGCTTACTGCGTCTGAGCGCCGACTGGGACAGGGCTCTCCCGCCGGCTGCGCCCCCCTCTCTCCCCGCTCGCCCTCTCTCTCTATCTCCTCCCCTTTTCCCTCTCATTACTCCCTCCCTCCCTCCCTCCCCTCCTCCCTTCCTTCCCTTCTCCCTTCCCTCCCTTCCGATCTCTCTCCCTTTCTTCCTCCCATCTTTCTCTCGCTACCACCCCCGCTGTCGCTCCCACTCGCATACTCTGCCCTCCGTTTCTCTGCCTGCATCTCTTTTTCTCCCTCTACCTTTCTCTCTCTGCTCTTCCCCCTGTACCTCTCCTGCTCGCTCTATCGCTCTATCTCTCTTTCGTTTTCACCCCCTCGCTGGCTGACGTCGTCTCGCCAGTCTCTACTTGAGGGACGTAGTCAAGCTCTGCCGTATGGTAGTGACGAATTCATTGACAGTATTCGTTAGATTGAGAGTTGTCAGGGGGCCGCAGTTGTGGGTGTATGCTCTCTTTGGCCCACCCGAAAGACCTCGAAAATCCGACTTCCTGAAAACAGCCTTTTGACCCCGGCCGATGCCGAGCACCGGTAACGATCGCTATGTTATCGGCAGGGCCCCGCACCCACAGGGCGATAGCGCCAAGCTGTAGAACAGGCACTGGCTCGCGGCGGACGTCGGAGCCGCTCCAGCGCACTGACCTCCCGCTGCGCTGGGCCTATTGAAGCCAAACCTTTGAGATCGCAGCGTGAACACTGACTGATTTCATAGATA